CTATCTATCTATCTATCTATCTATCTATCTATCTATCTATCTATCTATCTATCTATCTATCTATCTATCTATCTATCTATCTATCTATCTATCTATCTATCTATCTATCTATCTATCTATCTATCTATCTATCTATCTATCTATCTATCCATCCATCCATCCATTAGCATAGGAACCCAACAAGGAGTCAGAGATTGGAAAGACTTGTAGAATTGCTGGCAACTGAAAATATGTGCGTATTTAAACTCTAAATTATCGATTAAAATGTAAAGTAAAGAATGACATGTCAATAAACACCTGCATTTTATTCACTAAATCCTAATTTTGTATGAACCACAAAATTTGACATTTACTCAATTGAACCTTTACACAACAAATATCTTTACACCATGCAAGGGAATATTTTTTAAAATATTCTAGTAAAGAAAACTTTGGGAAACCAGTCAGGCGTTTAGTTGATTTTGATGTTAAGTGTTGTTTAAAAAAAGTGTCCTCTTCAATGAGGTGCTACAGCATGGATGGATTTATGGGAGTAGCACAGTTATCTTGTCTTTGTTGGGTTCTTTTATGATGAATTTCAAATAATCTAAGATAGACTGTGGGAAAATAGTGACTACCTGAGCATGAGATGCTGATTATGAGTGTTAAAGATGAAGACTGACCGGGGAACCAAGGCTGTGGCCCAGCTCATGTGCCATGGTCAGTTGGACTTGTCGTGGAGGCAGGAACTGTCCGTAGTTCTGAATCGTTATCAGGCCTGTGTTCAGGGTGGACATGCGGCCATTACGGAGGGTGGTATACTGTGAACATATTCCTCCCCAGTTACCTGAAGGGAACAACGAAGAAGAATGATGGTTGGTCACAATTTTCTGTGTCACTGATAGCTCAGAAATCCCTGATGACAATGCACAAACACTTACAAAACTGTGACAATATTAATGCAAACTCTATAAAGCCAATTCAGCTAAAGCACTGTAAGCACACAGCTGGGAGTCACTTGCAGTGTGAAGTGGTTGAGTAAGCTCTTAAACTTGTAGAAATACCCTTACGTCGTCATCCTCTGAGGCCCCAGTTATGGGGAGCCATGCACAAACTGTCCAACAAACCTGATAAACCTTTGTTTTATATAACAGCTTGCAGAGTCATTTAGTCTATAATGTTTTTTTTTTATTTTGACTTTAGGTGATACTGGATGTTTGTCCTGTAGTTGCAAACTGCTGGCAAATTCATATGAATGGATGGCAGAGTTATGCAATCATCTTTTAACCAAGGTGACTGATCATATTGCATATCTAGTTAATGTTACCAGTACAGGATTATCCACAGAAGTTATGGCAGACTTTCTTATGATTAATCATATATGGATAAAATAGTTTGATGTCAGATTTCAAATCTTTACAGCTTCTTGCACATTAAAATAAACATATGTGACCACCAAGTCCTTCAACAAGTGCCTTATTCACATATCCAAAATATGTCTCACCTCTTAGTGGTTCTCTTTATTTTTGTGTCTGTGTGCGGTTCAGTGTGGAGGTATCAGCTGCACTCACGTGAGTTATTTAACACCTCTCAATCAGTGTGGTCTGTTACACTATTTTAGGAAGTGGGGGTGAGGGGTATGTTGCAGAGAGTCAATATTATTTCAGAGAAACGTTGAGTTCACCACGTGTAACTGAGGACTGTGGGAACCAGTTGCAATCATATGGATTTCTTACCAGCATGTTGTTTGTCACACAGTAAACACAGGAGTGACGTCAAGAAAATGGTCATGGACAATGCAAGGTTAAACAAAAATAACAAGCCCCTTATCTATGTTGCTGTAAAAACAAGGAGGGTACTGCAGCAAGCAAGAAGACTACATTACTGTCATGATGTGAAGGACACTGTCAGTGACATTGCTGTAAAATGCAAGTGTTTCAATTCCTGGTACTCGATATGACAAGAGGTTCATGAGGGTCACTGAGACTGTTAAACTTTAGGGGGATAAAAAAGATAAATGTGCACAATCACTTGTGATCTTTATGGCTAAGAAATAAACTTTTTGAAGAACTCCGTTGGTAATGTTTAGCAAGAATTCTGGCTGCAGTTTTTTTCACATTTTGTTTTTGACCCAAAGCACATCCCTGGACTATTCAAGGAGGTGGGTTTCTTAGAAAGAAGGGTTGGAAGCCAATGCTGTGGATTTTGGCAGGATGAGCAGCAAAGGGTTGTGATTTTGTCTGCTTCTCCTTTTTGTGTTCACCATAAAAAGAAGCCATACTCAAAGTCCCCTATTATTAGCTTGCTAGATAAACACAGTCCCCTGGCACAAACAGTCATCTGGATCACTTGCACTAAACACACCTATCAGATGAAAACATGCATTTACAGTATGTTGTGTTTATGTACTCATACTTACTGGGAAAAAAAGACTGGCAGTCACAGTCTCTCAATATAGCAGGCAAACAAACAGAGGTACACACATATACAGGAAGGACTACATATGACGATAACATTCATAGTTTAATATGAACTAACAATAGTAAAAAATGTTTTCAGGATACATAAGTGGAGGACGTTAGCATGCCTAAACTCCTATTAATAACAAAAACAGGCAAAGCAAGCTATAATTATTCAGTACCTTGAGTTCTCACGACTGTGCTAACTTGAAAGGCACCTAAAATACCTACAGTAAATAACAGAACTTCATCTATTGCCTTTCTATTATAGTCAACAGTTCATTGAACTGTCCAGTACAAATTTGAATAGGATTTATTCCTTCCTTCCCTCCATCCATCCATCCATCCATCCATCCATCCATCCATCCATCCATCC